GCGTCACATCGACCCCCCCCCCCCCTCCCACCCCATGTCCATTAACATGAAAAATGGCGGATCCCGGCGGGGGTTAAGAGACAACATCACGCGTTCACCAATGCCGACGCAATACTGGTCCGGCTCTAATGAATTAAGGCCCGGCTGACAGGGTGGTTTGAGCGAAACCCGCTTCGACAGCCAACGGTTGTTTGCGGTGGTCGAGAGCTGCCTGGGCCACATCTCACCATTTAGTTCGCGTGCTACTGCTCGGTGTCTGATCTTGAGTTTGATGCGCTTTGATTGCAGTATTGCAGAAAGCAAGACCGAGGCCATCAAGCTTAAGCGCATTCGATCACCCGGCAGACACAACCATTGACTTCTGATGTCTAATCGCACACGCCAACCACAGCTTTTCGCACAGGCCATCTGCAGATCCGCGGTAACGTGCTGCAAATAAATCTCTTCGCGAATTTCATTCATTTCATCACAACAGGGCCAGTCTGAACGATTCATACAATTAAATTCATTCGTTAGCTTCAGCAGGATTGCTAGTGCTACTTATCGGCGGTAATTACATTCCGACCAAAAGTCAAACATTTTCAACCGCAGCCGATTGACTTTCGGGACGAAATCAGCCTCCATCACTCCCATACGCTTCGAAAAGTCATTGCCGAGCAATTATGCGGTAAAATATAGCACTGCACTAAGCAAAAGCGGATGTCCAGATACTGACAAAAACACGCAGTAGTTTTTAAGTCACAACAAAACTTAATGCATTTTCAACTTGCATCATCAGTTCTGGAGGAAACGCGAAGCGATGCAGAGCAACAAACATTGTGGAATTAATGACTTTAAGATATGATCTACCGGCTTCAGCGTTTCATCAGATGGTGACTACGGTTTGCCGAAATAGACTCGCATGTTGAGTCTGAATTACTCAGGAGGTGGGTGGGCTGGGCTACAGAGGGAAAAGCTCGTCAAAAAACATATTCACCCAAGACACGTGTGAGCATCAGCAGAGGATTAAGCCTGTAACAGCTCAAGAGAAGTGGTAAAAACGAAGAGGAGTCGGCGAAAAACCATGTCGATCGCAGCCGAAGGTATGGTAAGCATTACTGATCCTCGCACAACTGCTCTCGCGATCCAAATGCTAGGCCCGGCTGCTGGCAGTTGGGCTACTTTGGCCATCACCAGCGTCCCTTCGCAGGCAGTTAGCCGACTTTGGCCGGCAGGATGCCGTGGGCGGCTCATTCTGATGCATGAGCTCGAATCAGGGGCGTCCGGGGCATTCTGGAGGCGCGGGGAGCACGTGGGCCGACAGCAGCCCACCTGGCGCCAGACACGACGGCGGCAGCGGAGACTCGGCCGCGCGACACGGATCGCCGGCTGAACCGGACACAGCAGACAGTCGGCGGACAGCAGACAGCACACAGCAGCGACAGCAGACACGACGGTGGCAGCGAAGACTCGGCCGCGCGACACGGATCGCCGGCTGAACCGGACACAGCAGACAGTCGGCAGACAGCAGACAGCACACAGCAGTGACAGCAGACAACACACAGCAGTGACAGCAGACGTGACGGCCGATGACACGGCCAGCGGCACGACACCAAACACCAGACACCAGACGCCGCAAGCCAATATTGTGGCCCACTGCTTGACACCAGGCAAAACCGACGACCGACGCCGCCAATCTCCCAAGACCAAACAGGACTGGCAACCAACACAACCAATTGCCGGACATGGAGCACGACCTGCCGACAGCAGTCAATCACCGGCCAGGACCGACAACCAACACAACCAACTGCCAGACACTGAACACGACGTGCCGACAACACAGCTCGTTGTCTGCGGCCCCGGCCTACCAGACGGGCAGGACTCATCACGACCGGCGGCGGCCTGAGATCGACTCCCGCCGGCCCGGAGGTGGCCCTGATCGCTACGGCACGGGACCAGCCCGCAGCTCGGTGGTGTCATGTGGCTCTTGTCATCACTCAACGCACCGTGAACGTTTTGAGCCAGTTATGTTGGGGTTCAGTCGGGCTTCTTCCCGCTCGTCTGCGTCGCTTTCCACGCATGGCGACACGTGCCGGATGAATCGCTTGGAGAACAACGAACGACCAATACCTAAGCTGATGGGAGCCGGCACAGCTGATGCTGGTGATGCAGCTGGTGGGGGCGCCACGGTCCGTGTATACGAGTTTTGTACGGGTTAGATTGTGCCAGCACTAGTACATTTCTCACGGTTCTATTGCATTTTCCAATAGACTATTTGGAGGAGTTTTAGAGCGCGTCGAATGCAAATGGTCATGCAGCTCTTAGGAACTGTCAAAAACACTTTTAAAAACCGTGAGTTCCGTGGTAGGTACCCGGTATTTTTTCGCCCCAAGGATGAAGACACCCGCCTGGCCACACAAGCCGCCATGATAGCCGACAGATTTAAGGTACACGACGGCTGGTCATATTATTCTCCACAAGCCACAGGTCAGCGGACCAGTTCAGTCGAGATGCCCGAAAGAGAGGTGCCCACACAGACAGCCACGCCTCGCGCAACACGCATCAACAGGTGACGGCCGCAACCAGCTGGCTGTGTACGTTAGCATCCGCAAACAGGCAGCAGCCAATCAGCGACTGGGCCGGCGTGACGACAGCGGCGGACCGCACCCCGGACCGAGTCGCCGTCGCCTCCGCTGACACACCCCTACGTGCCGGCCGCTCACTTGGCGCCGGACGTCGCCCGCGGGCTGCCGGCACCCAGCCATGTGCGGCTCGGGCGGCGGCCGGCGGGGGTCGAGGGAGAGCTGCCGACGGGGGCAGGGGGAGCGCTGCCGACGGGGGCAGGGGGAGCGCTGCCGACGGGGGCCGGACGAGCGCTGCGGGCGGGGGCCGGGGGAGCGCCGCCGGCGGCCGTCCGCACGTGTCCGTGCGCGGCTCGGGCAGCGGCCGGCGGGGACAGGGGGAGCGCCGCCGGCACCCGTCCGCACGTGTCCGTGCGCGGCTCGGGCAGCGGCCGGCGGGGGCCGGGCGAGCGCCGCCGGCGCCCGTTCGCACGTGTCCCGGTCGCGCCGGTCCGTGACGGGTCGGTAGGCCGGCCGGCAGCGACACGACACCTCACCCGTGGATGGGCGGCGGACAGGGCCACCGGGCCGATCGTTATTGCCCGGGCGGTGGGACCGGCGCGACCCGGAGGCCGCCGCGCTCTCGCAGCCGCGCTAGACTCTGCGCCGCGCCGACCCACACAGTTGAGAGCACAGCCAAATCAATAATTATGCCGGCGGCGGCGGCGGCTGCCGCACACCGTGCCCCGTGTGGCGGCTCTCGGCCGGCCAGGTCGTGGTCGGGCTGCCGCAGGATATGGCTCCCCGTCCGCGTCCGGCCGGCGGGCCGGGCCCACCGAAAACATCCGGACCGGAGAAGTCGCCGCCGCCACGGCGCAGTTGGAGCCGGCAAAATGCTTGCTGGCGGCCGGGTAGCATTCAGATGTAATTAAATTATGCAGCCATTTGGAATGGGCCCAAATGGTGACATCCTCAATTCACTGCACGGCAAAGTTCGCCGTTATGAAAGACCCGCGTAGCGTACCGATTTATTCGAACTAGTGCCCCTGGAGCCTGACCTGGAAACGGCAAATTCCCCGTTCTGATATGCATAAGTAAAGAAAAAAATATGTTTCGCGCAGGTACGTACAAACGGCTGAAACGGAACGGCTCAACATGCTCCACAAGTAGGTGCATGCACTTATATCAAAAAGTCCAAGACCGTTACAATCAAACGCATTGGCTACAGCCCGTCAATAAGTGGCATATGATGAAACAAGCATTAGGCAGAATTAAGAGTGGCATTGCATCTCCGTCACAAAAACGCTTTTGTATTTGTGAAACAACCACCGCGTTTTGTGAGTCAGAATGCACCACCGAGACTCGTTCACAACAGAACACACGCCGGCTCCTGAACTGGCGCATCCCGATCCCCATTCTAGAGCCTGTTGACGAACATATGAGACGCAATATCAAGACAACCGCTATGGGATTTGATGATATCCCTCTACTTCGGATTAGTTGTCATTACCCTATCCCCGCCACCAGCCCGCATGGTCGTCCAGATTGTGCCCGCTACCGCTCGTTCAGTCACAAAGGAGCGCCACCAGCTCACCCACCACGACAGCTATTCCTCCTGCGACCGCAGTAGCTGTATCATGCTGGAGCTGATAACGTGTCATGGATTGAAGAAGTGGATGCGTTTCAAACGAACGCTCGCTGCATTTTGTGCTGCAAGAGCAATTTACCAAAGTCAGATCGGACATCGGTGTTCTTATGGTGCGTAGATTATAGTTCTATCCTTATGAGCCCCAGCGGCCATCCACATAACCTTGTGTCAGGTTCTAAAGCGAGGTCTGCCCAACCACATACAATGGAACGCGGTTCGCGTGTTGAAGATGCTGTTGGGTAATTGGGTATATTGGGTATATTGGGTACTGGGTATAGTACCCACGCATGCGAAGCGCTTCTTCCGAACGCACCACTCACTTTTCCATCGGGGATGGAGGCATGCTAATTAGGTACGTCCGCAGGTGACACCAACACAGCTTATGATTGGTGGTTTCATTGCCTTTACGAGCCCCTGTCAGTGTTGTACTATTGGAAACCATTAGAATGCTGCTAATCAAATTTAACCACGGCTCCAGAACGAACAGCACAAATCGCCCCGACATGCGAGGCACGGGGTATGGCACGACGGCAAGCTGAAGCATTGGCGCCGTGCTGTGCTGGACATCCTTCCCATCACCAGGCAGACGAACACCACGTTCGGGCTTCAGGGCTCGGGCCAGCCGACTCCGGATGCAGTCCAAGGAGTCCAAGGTGCTGTTCGGTTTCCTTACTGGCATCCTTCCACACGGCTGACGCCGCACACGCACAACGGCGGCCAGCACAGCGGACTCTTCCGGACGAGAGGCGCCCGAGGCAATCACGGTCGACCCCCGGCGCTCCCGGCGCCACGGGGCGTCGAGGGCTGCTCACCTTTCTTGAAGAACTTGGCCGGGTCGACCATGGCCATCAGGCTAGCGATGTCGTAGAAGGCGGCGGTGATGGTGCCGCCGGCGCGCTCCACGGCGGCGATCACGCGCTCCGGGGCCCACTGCACCTCCAGGTTCACCGGCGTCTCGAACTCGTCCATGCCCTGCACAGATACCGGAGACGGACGTAGGGGTGCACATGGACACGGGCAACGCACAGCTAGCCAATAGGATAGGGAACTGACGCAGCTGTGCAAGAATATGTACCTCCTTGCAACATACACACACACGCACACGCGCACGCGCACGCGCGAACGCACACACGCACGCACGCACGCACGCACACACACACACACACACACACACACACACACACACACACACACACACACACACACACCACACACACACACACACACACACACACACACACATATATATATATATATATATATATATATATATATATATATATATATATATGGCTAGAAAGATCAACATAGGCACTGATGGTCTGTTAGACATGCGTGCACATGACGCTACGAGTGATAAACCTGGTTACGAACCTGGCTTGGCACATGTATGCTTGGAAATGAAGGGACTTGAATCCAAATGACGGTCCCACTGGATAGGAAACGACAAGAGGTCACCCGGCAGGTGTGATAGGTCACCCGGCAGGTGTGACGAGCACCATTACTAGGCGGGGCCAGTCTGCTCGCTGTTGGCAGCACACCGAGAGTGTCTGGGTCACGAGCGGCCGTCCAAAGGTGTGCCGCGCTTTGTCACGCTTTGTTAACTTACCCTACAAAACACACAGTGTCATCCCGTCATAATATTCGGTGTTCTGTTCGTTTTGTTGATCACCACGACGGCGAGCACATCCATGGGGGCGCAAATCGTCCCTGCGTACGTTCTGTGCAAAGATAATTAACAGAAGCAGTGGACATATTGCCACCATTCTGGCTCACCTACATCACCGTTCAAGACGTTAGAAGACGTATGAAGGGACGCCAGACCCGGCCCCATGCAAATCCCGCCGGCCTCACGTCGCTCAAACGTCGCCAGCTCCATCTGCCCTCCGTCTGTCAGTCTGTCAGTCTGACAGTCTGTCAGCTGTCAGTCTGTCAGCGTGTCTATTGCTCGGATGTCAGTCAATGTCGGTTTTGCACTACACACAGCGGGGACGGCGGCGGCGGCGGCGGCGCGGCGCCCAGCACCACCTCAGCGGGCCGGTGGGGCAGGCAGCGCCGGCCGCACGCCACCGCTGTCGGCGGGTATTTCAGGCCCGAACAGCGCCGGTCAGCCGGCCGGCTGGAGGCAGATGGATCGGTGTGCGCGCGAGGCTCTCCGCCGCCGTCTGCCCGCCACCAACGGTTACGAATGACGGCCGATTCGGGCCCGACTCGGGATATCGTGATGAATGGCCTCCATAGCGGCCGACCGACCGACATATACATTGGTAGCCCGGGCGCCGCGACCGCGGCGGAGCTTTATCACCTGGCGCCCAGCTCGTCCGCCGGCGCAGAATGCCGCGAAAGCCAGTCCCAATTTGAGAGTCTTGAAAACGGTGGCTCCAATCTCAGTCCGTGCCCCGACAATAGCGGACGGCGCCGGCGCGCGGGCAAGGGCCGTCCACGTCGGCGGCCGCGGCTCGAGCACGCCACTCGGCACGAAGCGCCGCGGGTCTGCCGGACCCACACCGCGCTAGTGGCCAGGGCCACGTCCGCCGTGACCGCAGGCAGACCGGGAACACACACAGACCCGGCACAGACCAGGCGGCGCCCTTGAGGAATGCGAATAGGTGTGTTACTGCACCTGTTTTGGAACGGTACGCAGACTGGTCACGACGACGTTTCCATCGCAAAATAAAGATGGGATGTCACGTAGCGCTGTTATTTACCTTCACGCCCGCTACGATAAGCAGGCACCAGGAGGGCTCAGAAGAATGTCTCTCTCAATTTCGCAGTGGAGCCATGCGCGGTGTTCGGTGTTTTCAGGCAAACCGACCAACGATTTACGCGAAATCATTGATGACTGAGTGATCTTGACCACGATACAATTATTGCATACAAAGGCGGACATCGGCGAAAACAATGACGGCAAAGCGCTACAACTCAAATTATTACTGGCTGGTGCCTATACGATCTGAACCGGACCTGGTTCAGCAATCATTCCATGCCAAATCGTCCCATGTGCGAGATCCGCACCATACAGCGCTTACAAATATTGTGCTATCCAGACAACGTAAGGTGCATGACATGCCGCCACGTTTAATACGCGTCTGACTGATTGGTTGTGTCAAGATAATGCAGTGGTTTTCCAAATCCAAAAGATCAGACCCAAGTCACGTCCCGTTACACAGCGTCACTCGCGAAGGAAGGGGACGGATTTACTGGCCGACATCCTCTCCCCTGTCCAGCCTCATCAAACCGACACTGAACAGTCAGCGAAGCAGGCAGCAGACCGTTCCACAAATAGCCGCCGGCGATGTCTGGAGAGGACTTGCTTCCACTTATGTCGAGCAAACCCGTCACGTTGTTTGCAGACGTGTCCGACAGGTGGCGCTGCCGCAAAACAGGGCGGCCCCGTTCTGACACCCAGCCGGAAAACACGCACGCGCTAGTTATTTACTGCACCCTTGGGGGTCGCGCACCGTGCCGGTTTCAGTCAGCCGCGTGAAAACATGCCGCCGAGTTGGCAGCATCATGCGCGCGGTTATGGAGCACATGCGTCACGTTCGCCACTAACACCCGGCCGACCAATCAGGAACTGGTGGGACGACGTGTTAATGAAATCATGTTGTCACGGCGCGGTGTTAATGTTGCTGAAAGTGACGCAGACTGCCAAAATGAAAAGCGATGAGAAGTGAAGAAAGCGTCGTGTGAAATAAAGTGACGAAAGGATTTAAGAAAGTGATACAGGCTGGCAGATCGAAAGACGGCTGTGATACTACGCGCAGTGGGAGATAGAGAGCATATCGTTTTCAAATTACCTCATTGTTCAAGCTATATGCGGTGCTATTTTTGCCTGCGGATTATTTTCGCCACAGTTGAGTGTATTGAGCGGTCGCTTTATGACCAGACCTGCCTCAACGACTGAACCGAGGGCAGAACACGGGGAGAATTTGACCTTCGTCTTCAAAGTACGGGGCTGACACCTCAGCTGGGTGGGAATTAGTGCCTATCTCAGGGGCCCCCATTCACACCCACCGTCTATGAAACTAATTTCTACTCGCAAGACATCCACGCAGCCTCTGGCACATCCACATCGGCTGCTGGGAAAACCCACCCTTGCTTTTAATGCATCATACCGCCCCTGCAGCCCTTCTTCCGTTCAGGAAACTACACTCCTGTTGATAAAATACACATACGGACCAAATATCGCCTTAAAAACAACATCAACCCTTCTGGATCGTCATCTGGACATCTACTTCAATCATTTAATTTCGTGGCCCACCGAAGCGTGCGACAGAGTCATTTTGCGCCGTGCGGCGCAGAGTCCACAATGACCCCGGAAGACATTCCGAGCCGGGGGCAAGGAGCTAACCACCACTTAAACCAGTCCCCTGACAGCCACTGGCATGGAAATTAGCCGTCTGCCCACATTAGCGGGACCCAAAGCACCACCCAGAGCCGCTGCAGGCCGACACAACTAGCCTACAGACTACGTGGCAGTGCTTAGCATGGTGGTGGCCACGGCTTAGCTAACAAGCTGGACACAACCTCCTCTCAACTTGGGCTCCGTTCGCCTCGCTCCAGTGAAGGCAGAGACGAGAACAAGTGCCACGTGCGCGGTGCATCGAAATATTGATAAGAGTGGTCACATGTGTGAAAACCGTCACAGATCAACACCAGTAAATAATACACTTCGCAAATAAGACTCGTCTGGAGGATAGTACGCATCTGTAGCGTTATTTCGCACCGAGATCGACGAGTGAAGAACAGACCATGGTGATGGGCAAGCCTTAAATGACAACAGCACGGACTGCTACGTACAACAGAAAGCCTTGTTTGGCAACCCTGGCCATGCGAAACTGTTGAAACAGCGGCCGGACTAGTCCTTCTGCCAAAATGAAGCCATACAAGCGTGCAGCCGGCTCACCGCGCGGGGGATTACGTAATGTGATCATCTGAGCCACCCCGTTGTTAAGGTTACCATTGCAAAGCCATTCGGATAGTACGCATCTGTAGCGTTATTTCGCACCGAGATCGACGAGTGAAGAACAGACCATGGTGATGGGTAAGCCTTAAATGACAACAGCATGGACTGCTACGTACAACAGAAAGCCTTGTTTGGCAACCCTGGCCATGCGAAACTGTTGAAACAGCAGCCGGACTAGTCCTTCTGCCAAAATGAAGCAATACAAGCGTGCAGCCGGCTCACCACGCGGGGGATTACGTAATGTGATCATCTGAGCCACCCCGTTGTTAAGGTTACCATTGCAAAGCCATTCGGTTACCAGAGTAACCACCACAAACCCATTATACCTGGCGTATTTTCCAGGACCGCAGGCACACAGGTAGTCAGATTAATTGCGTAACCCATGGTTACGCTGCGACGGCCATATTCCGTGCGCTAAAAACAAAGGCCTTTGCCTATCCAGGCCAGTGGTGGATCCAGGATCAGACCAGGAGGAGGGGAGCGATCCATATTTACATGGCCCGCGCGGACATCGGGCGCCCGCCTCGCGGAATCACCCCCGAAACAGCTGGCGACTGAAAGCGGCAATAGGATGTTCACAGATTACCCGGGTGAAGCGCTGAGTTTTCAATTTTCAAGAATGGCAAGATCAATCCACAATTTGGCAGACAATACAGACTACAAATGCAAAGAAAAAGATAATACTGATGCCGAACTGCGAACGTATGCCAGCCACGAATTCCGAATGGGATGGGCTTCAAACATAATATATGCTGCACCAAACTAAGACGAACTCGTTAGGAAACCTAATCGCCATGGCCAAAACTGCACATGATATAGAGTCGTTGCACAGGGGCCGTATTCCTGTGAAAACTAAAGCAAATCCACGAAGCCACCATCCCAGTTAACTGGTGTTATACAGATGCCTACTTTCTACTATAGGACCCTCCCTTTTGCAATCCGTCGTGTTTAGAAAACGGTACAAAATGCAATACGCAGGATAGAGTGAAGGACTACCCAGTTCCCTAAATAACCTGGCATCATTAAGGGATCGGATCGTTTGTGGCCACCTCCGTTATCTTCTAACCGGTAGCCTAGCGGTATCATCGTGCAATCTTGTTCGGCTCAGCGGGCTCAGAAGGACAGTGTGTAGCCCAGAGGGCGTGGCGAGGATTTGGCCGTTGTCCATCAATCCTTTGAAGGACTACCGTCCTCTGTCCTCAGCCTCCTCTTGGCCGGCTGATACTGACTGAATGCTATGTAAATGACAGTCAAATGTTACCTTTTTCTAGCTCATAGGAAGAGCCACAGGTGCACATTGCGCTTGCGACCCGTGAATCGCGTGAATATGTGGTCCCGGAAACAGCGCAGGCCTCTCCGAGAAACGAGGAATTCACCCAATATGCAGATGGAGGACCCTGAGCAATTGGGAGCGCCTGGCAGGTCAGCATAGAGGGAGCCTCGGCAACGGCGTAAAATCCTCCTCAGCACATGGGAATAACACGAAATGACAGTGTGGAAGGCCCCTGGAGCGGGCGAGGGTGCCCGGCCGACCGACAAGTACAGCCTCATCAACAGCACAAAGGTCAGCAGGTCAGTATAGAGGAGCCTCGGCAATGGCGTAAAATCCTCCTCAGCACATGGGAAGAACACGAAATGACAGCGTAGAAGGCCCGGAGCGAACGAGGGTGTCCGGCCGACCGACAAGTACAGCCTCATCAACAGCATAAAACCCCGCGGGAAACTGGGGAAAAACAGACAGAGGCAGCCAACAACTCGCGACAGCTTCAGCACACCGCCGAACAGGCCAAACAAACTGATTGGTTCTCATTCACGCCGAGATTGCAAACAACTTCTCGCAAGCAGGCTTAACACGGTGCACTACATCGAATCAATTCCGGCAGAGCGCGCCTGCGGGGAGATCGGCAAACACAGGCGGGGAATCGCGCGCTCACCTCATCAGTCAGCTGAAAACCGAACTCGCGCCGCATCGGCTCCAGCTTGAACAAGCCAGAGTTGCAGATCTGAGTGATGTCGATCGGGTGGCTCGGGTCCACGCGGTCCGTGTCCACCATCAGCTGATCGGCACGGCCAAACTCGTCAGCTGGTGTTCACGATGAAGCTCATCAGAGCTTGAAAACTGAATTTATCGGCTCAAGAGGACAGTGTGACTCATCAGCTCAGGAAGACGGTAAGCTCGTGGAAAGGAATAGAATATATGGAACAATACTTGTAGCATAATCAGTACCTACAGCGGGGTATAAGCAGCACTTATACTCTCACATTACTGCCGTCAGCGAACGACCAGAAACCATGACAACAGTAACAATTTAATAACACAACACAACTTATCGACAGCAGCGTCCGAACAAACAGAGCAGCAGCTGGTATGGAGGCTTGTCTACTACGGCCCACACGAAACCCAATCAACAGCAGCGCCGCCCGAAAGACACAAATTCGACTAAAGCACAGCTGACCTTCAGCTGACCTTCTTCGGCTCACCGATGGTGGGAGTCAGAGCCCTCACCTGCAGCTGGTGCAGCGAGACGGGCGGGTACTGGCGGCGCAGGTGGTGGCCCTTGTAAGGCTCTTCACGCGGGATGCGCAGGTAGAACGGCGTCTGACCACCCTCGAAGCCGGCCCTCGCGAAGTGCTGGCGCGCCTTCGAGCCCTTGGTACCGGCGCCGTGCGTGTCGCCGCCGTGCTGACCGCGCTTCCGCTGACCCTGTGACGCCGGGTCAGCCGGGGGTTAGGCGAGGTCAGGCGAGGTCAGGCAGGGTCAGGAAAGGTCATCCAGGAGTCAGACGAGGTCAGGCGTCAGATTGCCGGGCGAGTTTACGAGGGTTTGTCAGGTGTCAGACGAAGGTCTGCCGGGGTCACGCGAGGGGAAAGCGGAGGCAAGGTGGGGTCAGGCCGGGTCAGACTAAAGTCACGGCGCGTGAGGTCAAAGTCATGCGGGTGTCAGAAAGAGGTAGGATGGGATCAGATATCCAGCACGGGCAGTCAGGGTTCCAGGCATGAGACAGCAGGCCACACATAGATCGGAGAGGATCAACCAGGGGGGGGGGGGGGAGTGGGCCAGACAGGGATCGGACAAGGCACCCGACGGTCATGGAGGGATGAGGAAGGGGCAATACAGAGGTCTACCGAAGACCAGACAGTGATTAGCAGTGTTAAGTGTCGCGTCCAGCAATCAATCAGCTTCGATCATGCAAGCGTCGGCGAGGAGTCGGTCCACGGCAGGTGACCTGCCCGTGACCTGAGACTGAGGGGGAACAACCCCGTCCACTAGTCAGCACAAGACGGCGCAGGTGGCGCCGACGTCGGTCTGATGAAGGCGGCTGAACGAGGCCTTCACGGCCACGAGGTCATAACACGGCTGGATTGCCGGACATTCATCTCAGCAGCGCAGTTATCGCCGCAGCGCGGAGTTTAACTGCCCGCCTGCTGAAATGTGAGATCACTCATACTGAGGACGATGGATCGTGGCACCAGAAAACTGCGTGAACCTCACACCGGTGCACACACGCTTGGGATTTGGTGGTATGCCCCAGGTCTGAGGCATGTTTACAAAAGGACGATCGAATTCAACCCATTACAGTGTAAGCCCGATACAGGACGTCCAGCCAAATGGCCGCATCGCAGCACTATGTCACATGGACGTGTCGTTAGCTGTCCCACCTGGGCAGAGAAGGGGGAAAACCAGGGGCGGAGCCGGACTTTTACAAGGGGAAGTACATCCAGGGGTCCCTTAACCAGGTATGGGGACTCCCATTCCAGCCCCTAGCTAAATATTACCGCCGGATTTCGGCCACCAAAACAGCCCTTTAGCACACATACACACATACATGCATACATGCACACATACATACATACATACATACATACATACATACATACACACATACACACATACACACATACACAACACACACACACACACACACACACACACACACACACACACACACGATATATATATATATATATATATATATATATATATATATATATATATATATATATATATATATATATATATATATATATATATATATATACATACATGACCTAGGGCCATCTAGGGCCTCCTCCTGACCAGATGTTGCCTCCTGCTTGTCTCAAGAGGCGCTCTTTGGATATAACGGAGTGCCCTGCCCCAGTCATCTGGTGCTTCCCTTCGGCACGTGGACCTGAAATTTGAAGGCCAGACATATATGTTTGCCCCCCCCCCCCTTGGAAAATGGCACGGAGGCGGCTTCCCAACTTGTTGCCCTCTTTCTGTTCCCAACCCAAGCGCCGCCCCTTCAGAGGACGCCAATGGACTGCCTCCATTGTGCGCAACAGGGCCGGCACAACGGCGCGGGATCTCGGCGTCGGGCCCAGTCTCACCGGCGGCTTGCCGATCGGGTGGTTGATGTTGGTGAGGCCGACCCGCGGCAGATGGCGCAGCAGGCGCAGCGCCTTCTCCTGGCCAGCCCCGGTCGACATAACACCTGGCGAAAGGCACGCGCGTTACTCGCCAGGCGGCCGCCTGTGCCGTGGTGGCAGCACTGTCCGCGCTGCGGTGTCAGCCTTCAAAAGCCACCCGCACATGTGCAACCCTTGGGAGGGAAGGGTTGAGACGTTTCAGCCGCTGTGGCCGTGCACTGGGTGCTTTGTGTGACGCCATCTCCATAAGCGATCTTTTTAGTGAACAAATGTGTCATTTCATTTTGGGTGGCCATTTAATTGCAAGATTTCTTATGACCACATTTTGATTAGGTGTACCACACTTGTTCTGTACAACATAAGTCAATTGGCATCTATTATTTTGCCACAAAATCCCCTGCCTAAAATGAATAACTGACTAAGACAACCCATGTCATCTGAATTAACTGTTACAAATGAAATAATTTACAATTGGGCAATTGGTCAGGATCACCAAGATGCTAAGTGATTAGGCAAACAGAGTGCATAAGCTCAATCTTTGTGACCTCATAATGTTGGTGTATTTTGTGTTAACATGTCTGACAGGCCCTAGGATAGTGTCAAAACATGTAGCTTCCTACACCATATATCTAAATTATGCCACAAAACAAAAACTTCTTAATTAAAATGTGTCTTGTGCAAATGGGATTGATAACCCATTTACCATTTTTGCTCTGGCATATCAGCATGGAACCTGCAGAGACATCTGGCAACCTAAACCTAACATGGTTGGTCATCATTAGGGCTTTGCGATGCAGTCAGCTGCTGAGGCTTTATGATGTCACCAACCTCTCACCCCGGCACAAAGGGCGGGCACCGCAAGGAATCAAATCCTGTACCTCTGGTGTCCCAGTTGTGGGGTGGTTAACACTGATGCATGAATGGCTACACTTTCAGCACTCCAGTAACATGGTAGTGCTGGAGATGGTGAATATGGTAACATGGTACAGGTAAAGACAACATGGTAAAAGTAGAGAACACACAACAAAGGTGGGAAAAACATGGTATAGGTGGAGATACCACACAACTAGTCAATCTTAAAACCATATCCATAGTTGGAAGCATATTTTCCAGACCTGTTACCTTAACTACAGATGTTCATACCAATACTCATCAGTCATTTGATAAAGCATGCCCGAATGGCCTCAGACAGAGCCCAGGACCAGAATCATATTGTCTCTGACTGTGAGCAAAAAAGCCAAGTGATACATACATAAGGTATGACTCTGCAATTGTATAACTTCACATGCCCACAGTGCCTTCTGCAGCTAGCAGCCCAGCAGTAGTCATATGTTTCAGCATGAGTGCAGTAAGAAGTATAGTATATCAAAATTGAACACCCTTGTTTTGTCTATAAAACCATCAAAACACCAGTTTCAGAGACAAGAAGGCATATTCTGATATATAAATATATACATCAGTTAATGATTAGCATCTAAGTTGATGCATAAGACATCAAGTAATTCAGCATTATATTATACATAGCATGCACACCAGGTGCAAAAACTAATTTTTACTTGAAGCTCAGTTTGTCATGATTATGAAGAGGAAAGATATAGCCTATTCAAAAGCTATGTTAACCTACAGGGAGGTGGTGGGGTGGGGGTTGATTGTGCATAACAGAGGCAAACAAGAGGCCAGACCATCCACATGTGTAACATCACTTTCAAGTGTGGCTGCAAATTACAGCAATAATTTCAATAGCACTTAAACTTTATGACTGACTTATTCTAGTTTGCTAACATGACAACAAACACAATTGTTACTTGCTTCCCAAGTCTAGCTCCATCAGGGGCCAGATGCAGCTTTGTAGGGTGGTACCCATGCTTGACACAAAGTGACATAGGTGTGGGGATTTACCAAGCATAATCAATGCACAACCAGAGGCAGAGAAATAGATGAGAAATGGCAAAACAAGTGTAGCAAAATGATTGAAAGCTGCCAGTACAATTACCGGGCTGTTAGCAAAATGTGAGGGTTATGAGAAAGACCATCATAAGTCCACATGGAGTCATTAACCATTGTACAGCTGTGATCGATCTACAAACAGTTGGATCCTACCAATAATTTAGAGCCAGACTTACTTGATATGCTGACTCCCCTCTTTCTGATGAGCTATGAATATCTAAAGGCGAGCAAAAGCCAATGTGAAGGAAAACTACGCCTGAAAGGGACCAGGCAATACCTATGATACTCTCAAATTAGGAAGTTGTGTGCCTAAACTGTGCCGCTGATAACCCCACCACAGCGCAGTAAAAAACTAGGCGAGAGGCATGGAAATCACCCGTTCCAAAGTTTTCATCCCCGGAAATGCGGCCGCGTTAGGGAAGCTTGACGCAAGGCTATGCCAAGACAGCGTTAAACGCATAGTAGCCAAAGACCTGAAAGATTGCCAGATCTGCGCCAGTTATGTAACACACATTACTGCCATATTAAAGATCCCTTTATTATTATCAAAAGTGGCTGCCCAAATTGTTTGCGAATAGGGCTCATGTGCGACAAACTCGCCCAATAGTTGACCGTGGTATGGGACAGGGTGTGTACCCGTGTATCGTCGGGTGAGTTTGTGGTATGTGTCGTTTTATCGTGGTCGTGTAAAAATGTGCGTAGTGGCCTGTTGTAAAGTGTAGTCGGATACTCCTCGCCTTCTCATAGGAAGAAAATTACGAACAGCAAACCGTCTCTGGAACTGTTCATCTTTAACAATCTTTTACCATTTACTCTTGGCTGGTATCTCAAATTCTATGAAATACAACTAAAAGCAGCAAAGTTCACAACTGTCAGCTGCTCGTGAACTTAGTCACCTGTTTGCTGTATTTCTTGGAGCTTCAGACTGTGGTCTTAAGTGTGTAGTATGCAATTGCAGATGTTAAACTATCCATCACAATAATCTTCTGCTGACAAAAGTTTCACAGACGATGTTTGTTTATGCTTGCAAATTGCCATTTTGCCACACCCTCTACCTGCTTTATGATTGGGATTTGGAACATAAAATGATGCAAACTGGTTTCAAACCAAGAAAAAGGATATTATTGATCATTGTGATGAAATGTCAAAAGCAGATGAGGTGACTTACCTAACAGTTGACTGTGATATCTACACCCTTCATTGTGGTAACTGTGCCCAGGGCATAAGTGATAGAGAATAATATGATGATTAAGCCATGGTGCAAGTGCTGATATTCTAGAAAGTCACTATCACTAATCTTTTTTGTGGGTGTATTAAGAGGAAAGGATCCATGATGTTGCAGATGATATATTCATGCTGAATTGATGACAAATTATAGATGTAGCATATGCCTTAACAGAGAGCAACAAACCAGTTCCAATGCCTTAAGCAATGCTACTTGTTCGCATCATCTTTGGCCATCATTCTGCTGACAGAATGCTGCTTTTATACCAAGCACCATTAGGTAATGCTCGCTTTCCATTAAGCCCATTTTGAAGCTGACATTTTGTATAATTATTGCTGTTGGACAACAGAGCTAGGAAAAAAACTGAGGTACTGTATGTGTAATAATGCTGTAGTGTGCTTTGCATTCATATACATGAAACACAATAATTCTATTTTGGCTGGTTGTTTGGTTAGTGTGGTAGGTTTGGTAGACTTGGGAAAGTATGCTCACTGGCTGGTGTCAGGCACTCAGAGTGCTTAGCATGGTGGTCTGATATGATATTGGCATACTTGCCAGTGCTTGTAAATATTTTTCTGAATGCAATCACATTTGGTGACACAACAACTTTAGCAAGTAAGCTGTTCAACAGAGGCACTATTCTGACACAAAAAGGATCTCATCTCTGCTGATTGCAAACATGAGGCTGCTGCCTTGGGGGGATGTTGGCAAGTTTCACCAGGTATCAAGTGTCCATTTGGAAGAAAGCCTCTTGATTACCAATTTACTTGTAAGTTAGCATCTAATAACTATGCTCATTCTGCCCCTGCATCTCCTCTGGTACATACTTCAAAGGTATACTTTTTTAGGTGCACTTCACATGGAAAGTGTTGAACCCTTGCAATAAGCTTGGTGGCACATCTTCGAACACACTCCACAGCATCCTGGTCTCCACACAGCATTGGTTCCCACACTCAGCTTCCATATTCAAGGAGTGGGCAAACAAATGCTTTAAACACCTTGGACTGTGTCCTGATAGCAAATGTCATTTTGGCAAGACTCAAGGCTCTGATGTTTTTCATAACATCCCTTGCAGTGTGCTCATGGTTAGAAAAATCTCAATAAATTCCTCTTCCCATGTCAAATTCACCACAGAATTTATCAAGCTCTGTTTATCTGATGTTTTAAGTCCAGGTTTAGCTGTCCAGCATGCAAAATCATTTACTTTTGCAAAATGAAGGAAATCTTTTCATTTCTGAGCACAGGCAAAGTGTCCATACCAAGCCCTCTGTCATGGTCAGCTGCTCCAATGATCACAATGGCTAAATGCCTCCTGCCACAATGGTCAGCTATGCCTCAGTAAATTTTTATGTCATTCACAAACATTGTGGAACAGCTCTTCAGTTCATCAGACAGATCATTCATGTAGCTCAGAACAGCAGGAGCCCTAGCACTGCACCCTGGTAGACTCCACTAGTCACTGTAATCCATTTGTTGTTTTTTCCTTCCATGATCGCTGTTTGTTTTCAGTCACGAAGGCCCCATGGCCTACCCACGCAGTATTTTTACCTTCAGTCGGCACATTCATGAGCTTGGATATCAAACACTTTTGTGGTACCTACCAGTTATCAAGCTGCAATAACTGAAAAGTTTTGGTTTAAAATGAGCCTGATGGAAGGTGGGTATTTGGCTCCAGGCATAGAGCCTTTTAGACATGTATTTAGTTCTGCAATGTGATTTCCGACCTCACATAATTCTGACATGAATGACTCACAGTTTGCCTACTATGTCATGTCAGTTGAGATCAACTTATATTTTTTCCAACTAAACATGTCTTTATGTGTGGAGTGCATACTTTTGTGAGTCAGCACATTATACCATTTACCTGCAAGAGTAATATGAGGTATCATGAATTATTGCCTAATGATATATCTTAGTCTTCTCCATGGTGCATCTAGCTCTTCCAACAGTCACTGATAATTTCGACATCAGCTGGCTGCAATGTTCCCTTTTCATCGAGACTGCTTTCATCACTTTTCAGCATTCAACTGGATGGAGCGATGAATGGAGTAGTTCAGGAGATGGTTTCAAAAAATTGCATAGGAATCCCCGTCATATCCTGCCAAGGGTTATAGCATTCAACTCTGTCATCACGTCATTTGTCTGACGTCAAGACAAAGTGCATTGCAGGCTTTTATAGAATGTTTGGGACTTCGCACTAATACGGCTAGCTGTAATTGTGTGGGCAGTTGTCGACGTCAAGCTTGGTGTGCTGCTGATACAGCGCACGAGGTGCTACGCCGGTTGTATGAACAGTGGTCACAGCAAACTCTGACCAGTGGTCGTGCCTGGCCCGGCAGTCGTTCGGACAGGCTTAGTGACGTTTCTGACGACCAGTTTCAGCTGGGCTGCCATGTCTGGCTTGGTAGCAGGTGCCACCAGTGGTGCACCAGCCGGGGACAGCAAGGTTTACCGCAAGATGCGTCAACAGTCGCCCTCAGCCTCGCCTCTGCAGGTGTTTGTCAAGGCCAAGAAGCGAATTAACGACATATACGGCGATATAGACGACTATGTCTTGGACGTCGTGCACTTCATTGACAGTGAGTAGAGTTTTGGAAACACGTTTGTAACTCGCTGTTGTGTCGATCTTTTTAGAATGGACTACTCATAGGTTGTGGCATGTGTTCAGTTCATGAGGTTTTTAACACTATATGCCTTACATAAGCATCGTCGTACTGATTACATACTATGTCGTCGTATTGATTACATATATACACTTTTAGCTCAGAAGAGCTTCAAAAAGGTGGAAGCTGTGAGGATGTCTTGCTCTGTTGGAATGATGTAGCTGGCATTGGTTGTTACTTATATGTGTGCATTGAGTTCCTGTGCTCGTGGTAGGCTGGCTTGCCTGCCCAAGTTGTTTACAAGTAGTTAATATATGTGTGCCTCATTGCTCCGCATTATCGCAAGTCGGAGCTAAGTTACTCTACATAATAGCCAAGCCTTCCATGAAGCATTTGTCACCTTAATTTTTAAAATGCAGCGGCTTCATGACGTATGTAGGATGGATCGAGGTATCTGGCATTGCATACAACCCAGAAGCATCTTAGTCCACGAAAGTATTGCAAATCATAACCCAGATGTGTGGCGCTGTCCTTCCAGCAGTGTTATCGCATCCTTTCAGCAGTGTTATCGCATCGCAGATCGCAAAAGCCTGCGAGGGTTGTCTAACCGTGCTGCGGTCGTGCCGAGTACACCACCCGTCCGCCGCCGGCTGACGTGTTTTGCCCGTGTTTTGCAGATGTGCCGCTGGACAAGGGTCTGGCGAGCGCTGACCAGGCAGAGGCCGTCCGGGCCTACCAGAGCAAGGTCAAGGGCATCCGGGACGTGCTGGCCCGCGACCACATGAAGGTGGCCTTCTTCGGCAGGTGCGGCCGTCCGGCGCCCCCTCTGTGCGCCGTGTCGGCTGGCTCAGTCGCCTCCACGCCCGTCCGGCTAGTGTCTGGTCAGCTGCCGAGCCTGGCCGCTGCTGATGGTGTTCTCCGTGTGCCCCATCTAGTCTTGGGCCCCGCCGGTCTGCTGGTCCCCTGCTCCCTCCCACCATCCCTCCCTCTCGCTCCCCTTCCTGCTATCCTTACCCGCACGAGTGTGATCCGCCCGCCCCCTGTGCCTTCCTGTTAGCCCCATTCACTTGCCCCCATCCACGGCCCGTGCCCTCTTGGCCGTTATCTGTGTCTCATATCCTATATGTTGTCCAAGTCCGTGCTCTAGTGGCCCGCCCGCCGTCTCCCGTGCCCTGCCGGTCTCTGCAACCGTTCCGGAGCCCTGCCGCCACCGTGCTGTTCATTCTCAGGCGGTCACTGTGCGCACATCTGGACACACGACGAATTCCCTGTGTCCAAAATAGCATCACACATGCTCATTGCAACGGTATTTCCACATCGCATCACGTGTGGGGAAATGTGAGGCTGCCACTGACATTCGCCCCCGCCGCTACCAGTTCGTCACGTTGACGTGTCTACGGCAGTACCGGTGGGTGTTCGCTCGCGCTTCTTCGTCGGTGGCCCGCGCGCACACCGCGCCTCTCCGACGCTCACTGTCCGTGCTGCCTCACGCGCTCGTCCGTGCCTGGCAGGACCAGCAACGGCAAGAGCTCAGTGATCAACGCCATGCTACGCGACAAGGTGCTGCCCAGCGGCATGGGCCACACCACCAACTGCTTCCTGCAGGTGGAGGGCGTGGACGGCGAGGAGGCGTTCCTCACCGTCGGCGACGACGGCCAGCGGCGCAGCGTGGAGGTCAGTCGCCCCGGCTCCGGCGCGCCCTCCGCCGCCTCACCGGAGCGTCCGTCCAGCAGGGTCTTGGGCTGGGCTCAGCAACGCGTGTCGCCCCTCGGGTGACACGTTTTCTCGTTTGTTTTGTTTGGGGCGAACTCTCGAGGGATCTGCTTGTCGGGTGCTGCGCCCTGACATGTCGGATGTTGGTGTCGGAGTCGGCCAACCTCCTGACACACGTGGGGTAACCGTATCCTCCTGTCCAAGCTATAGCGACTGGGGCGCGTTAGCAGTTGGTGGACCGCTTCATCATCACGCCGTTCAATATGCCTATCACAGATGTTTAATCCCTTACCGCCGCTGGATCCCTGCCCCGTCTGTGCAGTTCCTTCGGCTAATGCTGCTTGGATGCGTCCCATGTCGAGCCCCCAGGGGGTGGAGCCTCATCCGTCCATGAGTCGTTCGACCATCGTGTCCGTCGTTTCCCGTTTCACCATATTCTGTTTTGACAGTGTCCCGTCTGGCCATGTCCCGTCTGGCCATGTCCCATCTGGCCATGTCCTGTCTGGCCATGTCCCATCTGGCCAAGTCCTGTCTGGCGGTGTCCCCTCTGGCAGCGTCCCACCTGGCAGCGTCCTGTCTGTCATGTCCCATCTGGTCATGTCCCATCTGGCCATGTCCCGTCTGGCCATGTCCCGTCTGACCGTGTCATATCCGACCGTGTCCCGCCTGTTCGTCTGCCGCTGACCGTGTCCCGTGCCCCCGCCGGCAGTCGGTGGCGCAGCTGGGCCACGCCCTGCACAAAGAGAAGCTGGACGAGTCGGCCGTGGTGTACGTCCACTGGCCCAAGCGGCGCTGCCACCTGCTGAGGGATGACGTGGTCTTCGTCGACTCGCCAGGCATTGACGTCACACAGGTGACAATCACACCTGTCACCTACCACACCTGTTACCTGCCACACTTGTCACATGCCACACCTGCCACCTACCATGCTTGTCACCTGTTGCATCTGTCACTTGTGACACATGTCACCTGCCACACCTGCCACCTATCACACCTGTCACCCATCACACCTGTCACCTGCTGCACCGTCACCTGCCAAACCTGTCACTTGCCACACCTGTCACATACATCACACCTGTCACATGTACCACACTTGCCACATCTGTCACACATGTCATACCTACCACATGTTATACATGTGAAATCACCTTAACACATGGCACATGTCATACCTGTCACATCTTTCATATCTGTTACACCTGACATGTGTTTCACACCTGCCACATGTGTCACACCTGCTCCATGTGTCACACTTGCCATGCTTTTCACACCTACCACACCTGTCATATGTCACATCTGTCATGCCTGTCATACGCCACACCTGTTGCATCTGTCACACACATACCTGCCACACCTATCACACCCGTCACACATTTTACGTTGCTGTCCATCACTACACGCCTTACTTCTTCCATTGGCTGACTCAGCGGTCGCGATGTTTTTTTTCTTGATTCTGCTACCCCCTGCCCTGCTGCCTCAGGCTGTGCCGTCGCCCCGCGGCTCGGGGTCGTGCCGGCCGACATCCGCTGTCTGTTGCCGCGTCCCTCCCACCCTCCGCAGGGTCTGTAGTCTGGTGATGTTCCCACGTTCTGTGGTCTGGCCCATCCCTCCCATTCTCCGCACGGTACGTAATCGGGTGATGCTCCCACGTCCTGTAGTCTGAGGTACCCCTCCCACCCTCCGCAGGGTACGTAGTCGGGTGATGCTCCCACGTCCTGTGTTCTGACCCACCCCTCCCACCCTCCGCAGGGTACGTAGTCTGGTGATGCTCCCACGTCCTGTGGTCTGACCCATCCCTCCCAACACCTGCAGGGTCTGGACGCATGGATCGACGCCCATTGCCTGGACGCGGACGTGTTCGTGCTGGTGGCCAACGCCGAGTCGACTCTCATGCAAACGGTACGTCTGGTCGCCGATGATCGCGAGAGCTGTGCGCCGCCAAGCGCCCGGCGCCGGCCACCGTCACATAGAGCGGACGTCGCCCAGTCGATCCAAACGCACAGAGTTCGCCACCGGACGGATCCTGGTGCCAGCGACGAGTCACGGGGTCGTCTCCCGGGCAGACGGTGTGTCACGGGGTCGTCCCCTACGGCAGGCTGTGTGTCACGGGGTCGTCTCCCGGGCAGACAGTGTGTCGCGGGGTCGTCCTCCGGGCAGACGGTATGTCACGGGGTCGTCTCCCGGGCGGACGGTGTGTCACAGAGTCGTCCCTCAGGCAGACGGTGTGTCACGGAGTCGTCCCTCAGGCAGACGGTGTGTCACGGGGTCGTCCCTCAGGCAGGCGGTGCGTCACGGGGTCGTCCCCCAGGCAGACGGTGTGTCACGGAGTCGTCCCTCAGGCAGACGGTGTGTCACGGGGTCGTCCCTCAGGCAGGCGGTGTGTCACGGAGTCGTCCCCCAGGCAGACGGTGTGTCACGGAGTCGTCCCTCAGGCAGACGGTGTGTCACGGGGTCGTCCCCCAGGCAGACGGTGTGTCACGGGGTCGTCCCCCAGGCAGACGGTGTGTCACGGGGTCGTCCCCCAGGCGGACGGTGTGTCGCGGGGTCGTCCCCCGGGCAGACTGTATGTCACGGGGTCGTCCCCTACGGCAGGCTGTGTGTCACGGGGTCGTCCCCTGCGGCAGGCGGTGTGTCACGGGGTCGTCCCCCAGGCAGACGGTGTGTCACGGGGTTGTCCCTCATGTAGACGGTGGGTCCCTCCGCGGCCTGGCCGCCGTCGGGGGGCGGCGACAGTCGGCTCTCGATCAGCGGTGCTGAGCTGCGCCGCCCGGCTGCTGGAGAGGCGGACACTGTAGCTGGCTTCGGGCAGAGGTGCTGAGCTGGGCCGCCCGGTTGCTGGAGAGGCGGACACTGGCTGGCTTCGGGCAGCGGTGCTGAGCTGCGCCGCCCGGCTGCTGGATAGGCGGACACTGTGAATGGCTTTGGGCAGCAGTGCTGAGCTGCGCCGCCCGGCTGCTGGAGAAACGGACTCTGCGGCTGGCTTCGGGCAGCGGTGCTTAGCCAGTGCAGTCTGGGTGCTGTGGTGAGGTGGACCGGGCAGTTGAAGCGAGGATGGACGTTGGAGCCGACTGCAGCGAAGTTGTCGGTTATCTCCGTGGTCGGTATTCGGATGGCTCTCCACTGGTGCTGTCTGAGGTTATCGGTGCCTCAGAGTGCCGACAAGGGAACCCGTACTTGACATCTGTCCCCAATGGATGATATGCAGGGTTTCAGACTTGTCTACAGATGGCGCAACTCTGCAGTCTTGTAACCGGTTTAATGAATGGAGCGTTCCAGTACTAAACTATAGCATTGCTTGCTATTGATGCACGATGTAAAATGTATTGTGGGGTATGCCAAGGAAGGTAACGTTTTAGGGGCTATCTTTAAGCTGCAACATGCATCACGTCCCAGCTCATCCGTATGCATTCTACGATAATTGCAGTGCACTCGTAACTGGCCCCTGGAAATAGGCATATCTAGTGGCCTGCTCATTTCACCGTCCCATTCCCATTGGCGCCACTCCCGCGGGGACTGCCGACCAGGGCCGTCGCTGTCGCTGCTGCGGCCCGTTATCGGTCCCCGCTGGCCTGCGCAGCGAGCTTGACTCGGCGCATCGTCGAAAATTCGCCGAGTCTGTCAGGGAGTTGGCAATGTGACTGATCTGACGGAACTGAGTCTCAGGGAGTCTGACAATGTGACTGATCTGACGGAGCTGAGTCTGTCAGGGAGTCTGACAATGTCGACTGGATCTGACAGGGAACGGAGTCTGTCAGCGAGTCTGACAATGTGACTGATCTGACAGGGAGTCTGCCACTCCCGAGTGCTGAAGCGGAGAGGTACAACAGGCGGTCAGCCGTGGACAGTGGGCAGCGCCCGGTGCGGATATATGGGAGCCCTCTGGCAGCCGTGCTATCAGCAGCCGAGCCGTGCGGGAGGGGGACTTGACGCGTGACGGTGATGCGGAGCAACGCTTGGACAGGATGCCGTCGCGACGGCTCAGCACGTCGTCTGGACCCCATGTGCCTTCGTCGCGTGCCGTGCTGTGGCAAGTCTAGAGCCCAAGTGCTCGCTCTCGTAGTCCAGCCACTCGCTTCCAATAAGTGGCCTCGGCCGGACGTAACAGGTACTGCGTGTTGTGGTACAGGTACAGGTACCCTGAGACCTGCCCGTCTTCAGCGGGAGACTGTCAGGGCCTGTCAGCAGCGTCGCTGGCCTTACATGACGGTGGTCTCAGGATCACCAGCCTGTCGGACGCGGCGGTGTGACTTGAGACAGAACTGTCGGCTTATGTATATTCACGCGCAGTGTGGGACATTCACGACGCACATACAGGCAAGGAGCACATTGAAACGTGAAATGCTACGCGCATGCTTTGCTCCTGCGGGCCGCTATGCGGAGTGTGGACCTTTGCGGCCATTGGAGACTGGGGGGTAGTCTCGTGCCTCCTCGGATGAGTGGTTCCCTGTCGGACTACACCACCTGTCAAAGGTGGACGGTGCGAACTTTGTGCGGACCAGAGGCGCTCCTAGAAGGTCGTTGCGGTCCGTCTCTTACGGTACGGCTGGACGCAGGGGAGGGACGCAGCAGTCTTCCGGCGAGGGCGAAACTCACGTTCCCTCGCTTCGTACGCAGATGGATTCGCTTACGTCACAACGCCAGACCATTTAAGCAAAGGTGTGCCCCATCCCAAATCAGCCACGGCCCAGCATTCAAACTAATTCCGATGCACATGCCCAAACACAGGTATTCGATTGCGTCTGGGCTCAATGTTCTAATCGAAATGGAGAACTAGATCAAAGCGTTGAACTTAGGAACACAGTGAGTTGAGGCGAGCTTCAGGCACGGCTTGTAAGAGAACCGCTCCAGATTCCACCACTTGGCGCGGGCCCCGTCGTGGCTCTGTTGACCACTCCCTGCTCTGTTGCACGCAGCTGTGGAATAAGCTCTGACGGCCAGTGTGTCCTCAGTGTGTGCCAGTGTGTCAGTGCCGACGCAGCAGTGTTCTCGTCCTGCTGCTCACGCGAGTGTGGCCTCCGCTACCAGGTGGCGCTGCGCCTGCGCGCGCACCGGCACTACCAGATGGCGCTGCACCAACGCGCGCACCGGGTCAAGGTGTTTGGCAGAGGATGCCTGTTCGCACTGGCTCGCTCGCGCGCCGCCCGGCGGCCGCCAGGCCCGGTGAACAGTACATTGTATCAGCCATTGTTGTAAAACAATCGAAGGAAAACTTTGCTAACCGTCGCCTTGATAACGGAGAGGGTTAACATGATCCTCCCATAAGATTTTCTGAAGGATATCTCCGTTTCGACGTGCAATCGTGGCTAGATTTTCTGCAGCCTCTGGAGCACTAAGTGCACGCTTTTCGCACCGAAAACGTGTCTCTTGCATGCTGATCTGGTCTCAGACGTGACGATTTTTTAGGTACACTGCACGGTGATTCACGGCCGGCGCAGTCGGCAAGCGTCAACTGATGAGTGAGCCGATTGCGTGCAGTCGGCCGATACTGGTATATTGTACTGGTACATATATATATATATATATATATATATATATATATATATATATATATATATATATATATATATGCACATTATTTTTATCGCAGTTTCTGCACAGATTTGGATAATTTTAGGATTTACGTGTCTTGCTTTTGAAGTGTATGTTGTGTTTTGTTTAACCTTGCTTAGCGTCGCTCACTCGAGATCATGAACACAGCTTAAAACCTGTAGTAATAACGATATTTCAAAGGTTTGCTTGACAGTTCCGTTTACATCCTGACATATCGCTGGTCGATAACCGGCAGCATAATAGCCCTAAACTCATAATGTCGAAAAACCAGCAGCTTAGCTTTTTCTTGCTTATGCCGAGAAAAACCCCAATTGGTTGGATTGCGTGCATTGGCTCAAATCTGCAAACATTGTTTTGTAGTGTTAACATCCACAACAAAATGTGCTTAGGCACATTAAAAATAACCGTTGATAGCCAACGAAATGGACGAAGATCGAACGGTGATAACCTTATTGTCTCCCTCATGCAGCTCCGAAGATACCTGCACACAGGCAGGCACAAATGGCATGATGTACATTCTGGTGGATCTGATTCTTGATTTTTGACCCCCTTCTGGTGATCTAGGGGTACGCTCGGCGCTGCCTGCCGTTTCATCCTTCGGAGGACATCCTCGCCAATCCGTCTGGCGGTCCGCTCGTTCGGCGGCGCGTCACCGACCATTCCGCTCCCCCCCCCCCCCCCCCCCCCATTACACACCTGCTGCCGTCACGGGACCTCAGAGGGCCTCTCTTGGTCGCAGCGACGGCCAGCGGTTGACTACGGCTGACGTGTCCCGAATCGGCCAACCAGTGAACGCTGCGACGCGGCCATCTCGTGTCGTATGGTTCGCACCAGATAGTTCCCCTTACTCCGCCCTTTCGGCCACCTTCTTTCTTGGGAACCGTGTTGTCACATGTGTCATCTCATCTAAGTCCCTCCGGATGTTACGCAGTGCCGAGCAGCGTGTGCCCACTGCTCCAAACTAGCGTGCTATGCGGGATTTGCCGCCGCCACCGTCATAGCCAGCCGCCATGACTAGAGGTTTTGGCCAACTCTGTCAGAATACGTTGAGCAACCTACTGGACGACGACGCCCTTGTGGTTAAGTTAGATAACTAGGGAGCTGATAATTTCTAATGTGTTAAACACCGTGCTCAGTCCGTCGTGAAAAATCTTTGAAATATGTTGATTTGTCTTGAAATAAGACCTATGCGGAAGTCGCCGAATTTCACAGTTATCACCCGTCACCGTGGCATGACAGATGTCAAGAGAGGATTAGCGTTCAGGTGCGCTTTGTTTTAGTCAGCGTGCATTTCATCGTGCATGGGCCCGATTCAACTCCTTTTTAGGACCGGGGACGACCCATGACGGGCGGAGAGGTCGATTACATAACAGCTGCGTCAACATGCATAGTATAACAACTGTATGACATAGCACTAACAACCGCGTCGACAGGCAGCGTTTGGTATTCACCATTTTCCCTGTCGCCGGTTGTAACAGAGCCCCCCCCCCCCCCATTTCCCCCTCCCAGGCCGATTCCCTTTAGTGGCCATCACGCTGCTAACCACCAGGGCCGGTGAGAGAACCCACGTTGTCGGGCACCGGACGTCGAAGCGTGAGAGTCAGCTCAGCTAATGTGCCTCCGGGACCGCCGGTTACATAAACGTCTGAGCTCTTGGCGTTCCTGCTGCCGATTACCCCGGAGGCCGGCACATTTTGCTAAACTAATGAGTGCCGTTTGCAGTCCTTAGACGTTTTGACGAAGCTGTGAATCAGAGTCAATATTTCGTGATCATCAGCGGGTTGACAGCAAATCAACAGGTGCACGGGTATGTGCAAGCGTTACGTCTCGAGCATAACAATATGGGGGAACTGATCTCCCTGATACGTAACTGCCACCTCCACCCGAGCGTGACCGCACTCCGCGCGTATTTCGTAAGCCACGATTATCACCCTTTGTCCGTTTGGTATGCTCGTTACGTTTTCTGGTTCACTTCATAAGGCTGTAATGCTCGTTACGCTTGCGGTCAGCTGTCATGCCCGTTGGGTTGTCGGGCTCCCGTTGCACCAGCAGCGTACGTGCCCGCTATCGAAGGAGCCTATCGAGTGCGCCGCCTTGTGACGGGGCAGCCGCCGGATTCGCGCTGTGTCAGGGCGGCCGACCATGACAGGGCGCGCTCCGGCCGCCCCGTCGTGGCGTGCCGTGTCACGGCGCCGCGGCGACCCGGCCGTCCGGCGGGTGTCGTCAGCGTGACCCGGGGCTGACCTTGGCGGTGCGTGGCCGCTCGGCCGGCGCGGCGATGACCTGTCGGCCGGGGCGCCGCTGCTGCCGAGCCGCGCCGCCGGCCGCGCCCCGCGGCGCCGCCGGTCGCTGCCCGCCGCCGCTGATGCGGCCGGTGGCGAAACGACCTCCCGCGGTGACCGGAGCGGCCCAGGGGGACGGGCGTCAGGCTATCGGGCGCTCGGGCGGGGGACGGCACGGTGCGTGAGTCAGCACGACTGTTTCAGATCACGCTCACACAAAATAGCCACTCAGCGGCAAGACTGACTGACTGGACACCCGTCTGACCCTCCAGGTCACCTGCGGCTGCGGCCTCACAGCCAGCGAAAGGGACGCCGACCTGGGCCAAGATCGGTTGCCGCGAACCGTGCTGTTCTGGCTGTCTGGCCTCACCAGTAATATGTTGCGATTCACGTGCTATACCATTTAATCGTCGTGGCCGACGTATCGCGCTGGAGGCATGCCGTGCCGTACTTCTGTCCCGCGGTACCGATGTTGCAAAGGAGCCGGGCCCGGTGAAAGTCTTGTTTGGTTACATAAGTTGCGCATTGCGGCACCTCCTGACTCACATGACGTCTCTGGTTTTGCCAGTTGCTCGCTCTTGACGCTGCTGTTTTTTTTCCGTAAAATATTGACTTGCACGGGTTTGAGATAGGTCCGAATCGCCGCCGCGCACAGCCATCGCGGCACAGTGCTCGTGCCAAATCGCTCCGGAGCAGCCTCCATCCATTAGAGGGTTGACGCTGCCGGTCTGCTGCGTTTGTTGCGAAGTGAAATGAAAGGGTTCATCACAGTTCTATTTTGGCTCCAGCAGTCATTAAGTTGGAAATATATTCAGTGCTTGTTGTGTGGTTCCCACCCCGTCAGCCCCGAACCCCACTGCCATGAACAGAGGACGTTCCCACTCTTCTTGGTGTACCAGACACTTGACCTTGACCACTTGTAGACACTTGACCGCTTTACACCCTGGTCACTCATACAGTGACCTGGTTAGCGGGTTGTCTCCATCCTGCAGGTGTAGTGGGGGTGGTTGGTGGCGCTATCCCCGCTGATGTCATCGTGGCTACTGCTGTGATTGTTCACATCACTAGTGGGGGCTCATGTTGCTGTTGGTATGTGCGGCAGAAGCTCCTGTTGGTGGCAACACGATTGCCCCTCAAATGGCGTTTGTGTGCTGATGTTACCATTGAATGTTAAAAGGTCATTGGCGAACAGCCTTCAGTGCACAGTATGGTATGGCGGTTGCCACGGCGACGACACAGACGCTCCGTAAGACAAGCGTGTTCGACATGTTCTCCACTGAAACACGCCAGCTCCGGAAGTCATGCCACGCCGATGTTTCTAGCTAGTCGCCAGCAACGCAAACAGACTGTATCCCTAAGAATGCAAATTACGTTTGGCCCCAGTTTTCATCTGTGCATCTCTCCACACAGACCAAGCCGTTCTCTTACAGCTATAGGACAGTCACTGACGTATTGTGCGTTTTCCGTGCTGTTTTCAGGAGAAGAACTTCTTTCACAAGGTATCGTCCCGGCTCTCCAACCCGAACATCTTCATCCTGCAGAACCGATGGGACCAGACCGCCAACGAGCCGGAGTTCATGCAGGTCAGCTCCCGATGGCGGCCCGTCACGGACCCCGTCCAGCGTGTCACTCACGATCGGACAAGCTAACCCCTCGACAGCAGCGGCGGATCAGGTCGAAGCAGGTCATCCGGCTCAGGGACGTACGCACGGTTTCACAGTGGAATAGACACTACTCAAAAGTGAGCACTGAGAACCGAGTTACGTGCGTCGCAATTCAACACTTATCTTAAAACAGTATCGGATTCGCTCGATCTCCCTAACTTCACGTGTCTTCATGGAAGTTTTGCACGTCAACTCTAGCCACGTGCAAATTGGGCGCAGGTAACCCGGGGGCTCCTACGTGCGTGCGCCCGTTTCCGATCCCCTCAGCAGATCGCACGTGATCCAAACATCGAGACTGATCGGGTCAGACCAGGCCAGTCTGGGACTTGTGCCGTGGCAGTCCCAAAATCATCTCGACGTGGACCAGGCCAGAGCGGTTCCAGAGCGGACCAGGCCAGGCGACGACCGACTGGGCGCGGCTCCACACATTTCACGGCCGTGGACTGCCGCGCCAGTGTCATATGTCGACTCGCTGCGCCTCGTTAAGGCCCAGATGGGCGTGGCGGACGAGCGGTCCGGGTCACGACGGGCGAGCTTCAGCGCTCCGAAGGCGGCGGCGAGTGCGAGTGCCCGCGCCGCGCAGTGCCGCCGTGATGTTTGCTGTCCGGACCGCTTACGCAAATCTGGGCCAATCCGGTGCAAACGGCGCGGACAGCACTGATGGCTTCAGCCGTTTGCGCAAGGCCATGGCGGAGGTCTGCCATTGAGAAAGCCGGCAGCCGGCGCTCATGCGTGGCTGCCGCGCTGGCTGATTGGCCTCGCGTTTTGCAGCTCGCCGCCCGTCAGAACGTGCGGCTGCGCCGGGCGTGCCGTGCTCGCTGCGATCCGTTGGCGGCGGCTGTCGCGGGTGGCGCCGAGTCGCTGCGCCGCGGGGGTTCAGTGGGTTGTCATAGTTTGGCCGTGGCTATCCAGACGGTACCCCCTTCGGATAGGCTGACTGATGCTGATCCGTGTCTCCTCAGCATGGTGTGGTGCCCCTGTGTCCTCAGCGCGACGTAGTTGACCTCGTGTGACCTCGATCTGCTGGTGTTTGAGTTGCGAGAGCCACTCGACGTTAGTGTTTGTCGTCGATCCGACTTAACCTAAGTAGTCCGTCGTCGCCGCCATGTGGTTGCTGGGACGGTGCTGACTGTAACCGAGGCGAGCAGCTGGTCTGACCCCACGTGGCTGCGGCGGTCAGGCGACGCTGACCCCGCGTGGTGTCGATGGCTGGCCTCTGACCCCGTGTGACCCCTGCAGGGCTCAGAGGAGGAGCGGGCGGTGGTGAGTCCGCTCTCGTTGTACCTACGCAGCCTGGCAGGAATGGACCTCAAGCTAATTAGACCGCGGTAGTCCATTCATGGCCGTATGGCGCTTGGCCCACCGCTTTGCTTCTATAGCTCTAGCTGCGTCTGCAAGTCCTAAGCACATGCTGCTGACGTCGTGTTTTATTTGGCAGCGCGCAGGCCGTCTTTGTTTCGCGCTGATGTCCCTGTTAATTGGCCGTCTTTTGCTTTGTCGGGGGGACGTCGGAGATTGGCTCACTACACTCGGATGCTTATAGGTCATGTGTGCAGATACGTGGGCCGACACTGGGTCAGAAGGGTCTTGGTCGCACCTTCGGCCTCTTCGCTCGGTGAGCGTCAGCCACGATCTGAGCCTCCAGATGGGCCGCCGGCCGTGTGTGAGGCCCACGTCAGCTCCCTGTTTCGGCGGCCCCGGAGCGCCGGCGCTCCGGGGCCGCCTGCGGTGTTCGCCCCTCGTTAGGCAGCGCCCCGGCGCCCAGGCCGCCATCCGACGCCCTGGCGTATGATCCGAAGCCGTGTGGCGGCGCGGCAGACGGAGCCCGGAGACCGGCCGACGGCCGGACGGGCGCGTGTCGCATCTGACGCGCTCCGACACCCACTCCTGTCGCACGGGACGGGCCAACGGTCGGACGGGCTCGTGTCGCATCTGACGCGCTCCGACACCCACTCCTGTCGCACGGGACGGGCCGACGGCCGGACGGGCTCGTGTCGCATCTGACGCGCTCCGACACCCACTCCTGTCGCGCGGGACGGGCCGACGGCCGTACGGGCTCGTGTCGCATCTGACGCGCTCCGACACCCACTCCTGTCGCACGGGACGGGCTGAACAGGCCCCCGGCCTCCGCTCTCAGCCTGTTCTCTGGGAGCACGGCGTCTGGCGGCGTGGTGCTGTTGACATCGCGCCGGGAAGCCTCCCTGTCTAACGCATCTGCGGCGGCGGTTTTACGCATGTTTGGCGCTAACGGCGACCAGTATATTCCACACTGGCCTGCCTTGGGCCTGTTTGCCTCGTGCCCGTCATGTATCTGCTTCTGCTGACCTGACCACGTCTCTTCGTCTCTGAAAGGTGGGCCAGCAGCGGCATATGATAGTGTGGCTGAGCCCGGCCCCGCAGTCTCACGGGGTCGGTGCTGAGAAATAAGTACTTCAACATGATAAGACCAATGGCAATTCGCTATCCAACTGGCAACGATTGTAGACTAAAAATATTTGAAACCTGTTCATTTTGTAAGGGTTTTCGGCCCACAGCAAGGCTTTCCGGTTATCCTGCCTGTAGAACAAGGGCAATGACAATGGATGAAACCAGCTTACTACAAGGAGCAACACTAAAGTTGCCGCTTGTACAAGATAGGCTTTCTCTTTTTATCAGTCCAGAACCTTACTTAGCAAACGGGCTTCTATGCTTGTATAAGGCATAGCGGCCCTGAGTTGCCCGCCAGTCACGATTTTGACTGTCATGGTGTACTTTGTACACTTTTGACTTGGCTTATATGTTTGCATGGACGGATGGCTCCTCGATCTGCTTTTCAATATGTCAGGCTGTTCCTTGAAGTTGAGCTGTGACAGTTTCAAGTATTTCAGCGCAAAGCTGTTAAGCAGGCGGCGCCATTCTGTCGTAGCTTTGCAATGTGCAACTGACCTGCATATGCATCGACTTTTTGGCCGCTTTTCAATGCGTCGATCATCGCGTTTTAGTTCCACACTCCTTTGACGTTGATGTGCGGCCCCTGCAATGACTGAGATCAATTCCCGTCGACACGACGGCGACGTGTGATTTTCGAGAACGTCCTTTGGCGTGGATCCCAGTAACCTCGTATTCACCGAACGAATCGAGAGCGCCCCTCTGCGTGGATCCCAGTAACCTCGTATACACCGAAAGAACGTGGATCCCAGTTGCCTCGTATACACCGAAAGAATCGAGAGCGCCCTCCTTCGCGGATTCCAGTAACCTCGTATACACGGAAATAAATGTTTCATTGACACTTTCGTGTAATAGTCTTCCAATGCAAATCCACTTAAATCACCTCCTGGCTACTGTCTCCTCCATACAGACGGCGGAACCCTGTTCTATCAAGTGGAAAAATATGTGCTTTCATCCACCGCCAATATGCTGCATGCAGATCCTGTTCGCCCGGTGGACGGCCGCGGACCACCGGCAAGGCAGGAGCAACTGAACGCACCCAGGTGCCGATCTAACTGCACCACCCTGAAACGTTTACCCATGGTCCATCACTATGCAGCATGTGCAGAGAATTGGGCGCGTGCCAAAACAAAGCGAGATTGGGGGGGGGGGGCGTCATTGGAAAGAAAATTGTGGCGGCGATGGCGGAGAGGTCGCCGGGACTGGTGGAATGGACAGTCTGGACTAGCATTGCGACGTACTGCGCGAACGTCTGATCGTGGTCGGGATATCGTGGCGTTATATGGACTCAGCCTGCCAGACCACACGCCGACCGGACGTACTGCGCGAACGTCTGATCGTGGTCAGGATTTCGTGGCGTTATATGGACCCAGGGTGCCAGGCCACACGCGGACCGCATACAATAGGTCCAACATGCACGCATCGTTTAGCGGTCAGCACACGCGCACTCACAAATCACACATGACTATCACTCGCCAGTAGCGACTCACTTTCGGCGCCCTCAGTGACGTCACTTTCTACCAGGCGCACACAGCACGACGGGATAGTTTTGGACCACATCGCCAATCACCAGCTTGAACAGCTTTCCAACGAGGATGCTTCGGTCTGGCTGTCTCAGGCGGCTCTTGCCTAGGCATCACATTGTGTCTGTCACCATTCGTCGTGTGCAAACTTAATTGGACTGTTCTCTTCTGTTGCACCCCATGTAGTATAAATCAGTTTGTAGTACAAAGTAAACATATCAGTTTTTTGTCATTGCGCCTTGCATTGTCAAAATGCATGCCAAGGCAAAATCTCCTGTGACATTTCAACGTATGTGCATTAGCCTCATTCTTACTAGAGTAATTTGCTGCACGGCCATTCGCAGTCGATGCACTCTAAAACACCAAACCAAACCACCTGCTTGAGTGATTACAATTGGTGCTCAATTTGACAAGCTGTGCTCATTCTATTGATGATATGGTGGATGCCGTCAATATAATCTTTATTCAACACTACAACTTTATTTAATGATTGCGTCGTGGCATGTGAAGATCGTTAACTCCACATAAGAGCTCAAAATGCCGAAACACCGGGAACTAGATATCTTCCTTACAGACATTTATATGGTTTGCTTCATTTGACTGGATAGTAGGGAGTTATAACTGATTTTGCTAGCAAAGGTGACCTCTCATGGGCAATGGATTAAGTATATGAAATTAAGTGAAACATTTCACACTATTTTATCCCTCATTCAGGCAACACAAAATACCAGTGCTTAGTCCCGAAAGCACGGGTCGGAAACGGGTACAGATCTCTGCGAACGGGCATCAAGACGACATAATTCCCACTGGTACCGACGGAACAGAAAACAAACGGTTGCACTGGCAGAAGTGTGTGCCGGTTCATGCAGACTAGCATGTTCCAGTGTACGCTAACCGTGGATCGGGCCGCTTTGACAGCGTTGAAGGCTCGTGTGCCAGCTCTGGGCGGCCGGAGCGGACGATGACTGA